ATATATATATATATATATATATATATATATATAGTGTAATAATGATTTTTATAGGGCCTTTTAAGGCTACTACTACTAAAACTACTGTAGCTAGCCCGAGTCTTTAGTATTTAGTTTATTTTCTACATTATTATTATTTTTTAGAGTATTATTATAGTATTTATTTAATTTTTAAGAAAACATTAATTTATATTGTTTTTGAATGGTGGCTGGAAAATATGTACAGTAAGGATATACAAATGTACAGAATATTAATTTAATGGAATAGTTTAAAAACCAAAATACACAGTACTGTAAGTTAACACTAATTGCTATGTTCTTCAATCTCAAACATGGAAACTGGTTTAAATGGTGTATTGGTATTAGATGATTAACATAATTAATTTTACTTCACATTGTCGAGTAAGAGACATACTGGTACTTTAAATAGTCACTCTATTTTATTTGAATCTGAATGCTCTATTTTACCTTTTTCAGTATACAGTAGGTACAGTAGTACCTGTGCATTACATTTGAATACTGTATCTCTATTCAGCTACAGTAGATCCCATCTTATGTGTTACCTCAAAAAAAAAATATTGTACATATTTCTATTTTAACATATTTTTATTTTTTCAGATGCCCCTAATGAAAGTTGTACGCTGTCCATCGGATGAGCTATCCATTACAAATTGTGCAATAGTGAGTCCACATGACTTGAAAAATTGCAAGTAAGATGTCTTTAATACGTAAATTTCTGTTTTTTTTAATTTCATGTTTTGTTGAGTAATACTTCAGTATTGATCTGCTTGATTATGTGTTTTGCATATCTGGTAGAACAGCTGTTTGGTTTGATAATAAATAACTATAATTTTATATTTTTGTAGTGTATTTTTCTGCAGTGCATCCATGCCCAAATACAACATAAATTTCACTGATATTCCAATATATTAGCTCTTCAGTATAGCATAGCATACATTAAAAGACATACAATTAGCAAATATCTAGGCAAAATACATGCTTTTTAACATTGTTCTCCCATTATTTGACTTAATAATTTATTCTTAAAATACATTTATCTTTTCTGTGCTTGTGAAGATGCAAAATTCTCTGCTCTAGATTTATTGAAATTCATGTGATGCATCATAATAACCAAATTTGCATGTATAGTAGGAGAGCATATTTAGTGGCTCAATGAAACCACTATATGTTAAAGTATGTTCCCTGACAAAAATCATTAAAAATATTTTTATAATTAACTTGCTCATTTGGCAGTAACATACTGTACAACTATTAACTTATTGAATATTGAAGCATAAACATTATTTAATTTAAAAAAATGTGTACCGGTATCCTGATTTTTTTACTGGGCAATGATGGAAATAATAAAAAAAACTGTCCTGTCCAGTTCCAGTGACTGGAAGTGTTTCTATCATTTTTCGTTGTAAAATTATTGGTAAACATTTTTAAAGTACACTAATTTTTATGTTCAAGTTGACAATTTTTGTTACTTCAAAATGAGCAATTTGATATTAAAATATTATTTTTATGAGGTTTTTTTGGTATTTTTCATGGGGCATTGTTTGGAACGCAATGAAACTAAGTTTACCTTTTCGTTACTTTATTGTGTTTTTATCCATAAATATTATTTTTGTGTTCTGAATAAAGGAATTTAAATAAATAAATAGTACATCTTTAACGCTACGAGTCTTATTCACTTACAGCATATTTGACAGTAACAACAATTAAAATGACCAGAAGAGTGTGGAGAGTAAGACATGGGCAAAAGTCATTGCTAGTGATGCAAAATTAAAAAAAAAAAATATATAGAAATTTAATTTCACTTCAGTCTGTTTGATTATATTTGTCATTGTTTGTTTACTGTTATTTATTAATATTCTGTTCCCAGGCATATTTCAGTGAGAGTCCAAGGTGGTTCTTATGTATTCAGTGTGACTCCAGACCAGAAGGTGAACAGTGGATCTATTGGCTTTAGTTTGGTACAGGTAAGTATATGGTATAATATGTTGGTCAAAAAATTACAATAACATTTTGTGCTAAAATTTGAGTACGTGCCCCTAGATATGGCTATTTTTCAACTTGTAATAGCTTCACTGGTACCAAATCATTTTTTTTTTGCATGGGGGGGGGGGGGGAAAACGGATCGGAATTTAATAGTCTTTACAACGA